TGGACAGTATATAAACCTGTTATTCTGATGGGAGGGGCACATTACGCTTCCATGTGAATTCTGTGCGGTCGGTCTTCACGCGACATACTCAGTGGAAGACTCATATAAAGCGGTGAGTGTGCAGAGCTATGCTAAATGTGATTGAAATCTTGGTTTAGCGTTTTCTCTGTTTGGTTACGGTGTTTGGCCGAGTGGATTGCTGTCAACTTGACCCTTTCAGGCTCTGAGGAAGGCGAAATCCGCCGAAACATCAGCTTGTGCGTAAATAAAGAAATAAAATAGCACCTCGTGTTTGCTGAACAGAAGTAGAAAGATACTTTCACCAATGTTTAGCTCAAATTACAACCTACTGTTATTCATTATCCTTTGTCATCAACAACTAAAAACGTTTCCCAAGTAAATCAATAATCGTTCCAGTAGTGTTCACAAGCACATCGTTCACCTCCTAATTAAGAAATAACCTAAATATGAGAGTATAAACATATTCGCGCATACCGTAACGAAATCCAACAGTTTACCGCCTAATAGTGGCTAGGAGGTTTTCCTGGGTGTCAGACTGCGATGTACAGCGGATTCGTCCCATCGGCAGGGTCTCCCAAGCTGAGGAGTCCGGCATTTCCATCAGTAAACCTAGCTATGAGTAAACCAGCACCGGGATCCGCCACCGTCCTGGTATCAAAGTCGTATGGTGGTAAATCTCCGTCTGATCCACAAGGGCTGCGGCTGCCCGTGGTGGTGAAGACCTGGGGTAGACTTTGCCCAAGCTGAGCTCGAGATTCCAGGAAACACTATGGCTTAACGAGTAAGTCTCCGAAAAATCGAGAATATGCTGGGGGCCGCACAACCAGTGAGGATGGGCCGTTCAAGTATAAAGTACTAAGTAAGTAACGAAACCGGAAATTCGTTATGCGTCAAAAACGAACTAGACAAAAACCACGTTATCTCACTGATTTAAATCGCATACGAAGGTAGAGACCTACTTCTAAGGCTGAAATGAACCTGAACAGCGCGAAAAATTTTTATTGCAGCAAGAATTCTTAAGAGCACTCTCGCTGTCCCCATGATTTTCGACCTCCTAGAAACACCATGTACAAACATTTCGAAAACTCCACTTGTTAGTCTTCATAGATGTAGCGTCTCAATGTGTGCAAACGTAAAAAATAATGAGTTCAGCATTGACCACACTCCCTAAGGAACTTCACCAAGCATCTTTAACGACGAGTGAATGCATAACTGGCCTATATATTGACTTTTAGTAGCATACAGATGTGTCAAATCAGTGTTGCTATGCTCCTAGATAGGACTGCTAACCACTGCTACACTAGCTTTGTCTCAATGCATAACACGAACAGTCTTTTAACAGTGCAGAGTCACGCCACCTATAGCTGTAAGCATTCGCTTCCCACTACTCAATCTTGTACATTTCTTCCAGGAAGCAACAGTGAACCAGATGTGTAAATATTATGAAGTAAACCTACTTCAATATAATAACAGAAGAAGAGCAAACGTCCAAAACGTGGATGTAATAATTAAATGCGAATCCATATTCCACGATGGACTTTCTATTCGACTGTCTCTTTTCATTCCACAGCAACAATAAAACACTTATATAATATTTCATACAGATGATGGCCAACACTACATCGGATACTCAAGTGGCCTAATTTTACATGTAGATTTGCAACCGATTCTAGTCATCTCAAAATCGTCTTCGTTGGAAGGGGATGAGATGAGGGTTAGGGAACGACATGGCACTCTGCTGCCAGTTCTCCTCCGAGTATTGGTTGAGGCTGGTTGTAATCCTGATATAGCCGTTCTGGAACGAAACTGGATTTTTATCAAAATCAGCCGTCCACCTTGTTAGACCAGAGAGAATTCTACTGGCATCCGACACTTCTAAAGTGGTACTCACTCCTCTGACACCGCGGACAACTTCGACTGGTTCACCGATCGATCGACTACGGATCGAAAAGCTAAGTTTTCATGTAAGAAAGCATTATTTGATATTCCGTTAATAAATAGGCGACTCCTGTGTTTCAGCATAACCTATATTCAACGAACATAGCCTGAAATATCACCTGCCAAGAAGCGTATGAAACATATAAATACTAAAATTACCGCTGTTATACTACAGAGCATGTAACCCCGGCACGAGAGGACTAACTCAAGCGGGAATCAATAGCATCTCTGTCACACTGGCCCCATATTTCAGTTTCTGACGACAAGGTAGCAATCGGTAAACTATCAGACTCTGCTGTGGGACAGATCTATTCTTAGCTGGACTTCCCGATGAAAATGTCGAACTCTTCAACCTGAGTCAACCCGCTGGGTGATAAACTCATCCACAGCATATCGCTGTTCATCACCCAGCTACAATGAGACACTATAGGACTGACAGGAAATATAACATCATATAGGAAACATAATATCGCTTTACAACTATGTGGAATGAAATGGAAATACACCTACTATTATGCCGAGATGTTTCCAAAACATGCACCCCAGACCAGATTCGAACCCATGATTACCTTTCCTGGGACTAATGTGTTACCCACTGTAACACTGAGTTCCTTGCCTTGTCTTTCTCTTAGCCAGTTTTCTACCTAGCGGTGATAATGTTAATAACACGTAAACAACGTGATTTCGACTACAATCTCACCTTAACTAGGTCTACTGTCTAATTGTGGTCCTCAAATCATTCCACGGGCGACTGTTTATTGTACCTTTAAGTAGAAAACAGGCCGAAAGAAACGCATAGAAAGCGCCTCTGTGGGGCAGTGGGCAGGTGAGTCTGCGGAGAGGGCAATCGCAGGTTAGAATCTGGCCTGGGGTCCATGTTTTGCAAAATTCTCAGCATCATAGTGGATGTGTTTCACAACACTCTCCCGCGAAAAATAATGATAGCCATTAAGTAAAAAGTTAACATTGCGGTGGAAATCTTATTCGGCGTAAGAACAACGTGACAAAAAATGGTCGTTTAATAATGTCACCAACGATCTGACCCGCTACCAAGAGGTAAGAACCACTTAGCGCAAAAATTTTAAATCGCCACATTACTGCCAATGGAGTTGTCTATGGAATACACATAGTTAACGACAACAAACACTTAGCGAAGTAGTAGCTACGTTAAGTATGTAAGAAACTTAAGGGAACCACGTAGACCTCCGTTTCTTAACTACCATGATCGAAGACCCAAGAGGAAATCCCAACCAGTCCATCACAGAAATCTCCGGATTGTGGCGTCCAGATAATAAGTGAATAATCATTCACGAAGAACAAAGTGCCTTCAACAATCTCAGTTCTGGAAGTGATATCAAATCGGATAACTGCCAACAACATTATTATATATAGCAAATAATACTTAACACTTTGTTTTCCGGAAGTAGAACGAAAAACAATTAAGATTGCAGAAAGAGATTTCAGAACTGAAGTGTCAACTATAGAAGATGTATGATATTCGACTTCGGATCCAAACATTCAAGAAAACATTCTGGATGAATTCAGTGGGGGACGTTCTGAGTATAGCCGCTTCCGCAGCATGCACAACATGCTTATCGATCAACGGCCAGCATGTTGCAAGAGGGCCCAAATTGAGAACGGTGGCGTACGAACGGACCGCTGCGCAGGATCGCACTAGAACCCAGCTTCCCGCGCTAAGTTTCTACCGTAAGTAAAGGAACATGCGAACACGTGTTGGTCCCGACTTGATTGGAAATATCTGGGTCAGATTACTTCGAATGGGGCAAAGTTGCCGCGTTGCTGGTTGATATCGCTCTGAATGTCTTTTGTTCGGAAGTACTTTAGTGGCTATTTAGTCATAATATAGGCATAAATAACGGGTTTTTTAATTATTTCACACTGGCGGTCTTTTAATTAAAGTCTAAACATAGGTGATGAGGGTATCATCGCCACAGCTAGTTGCTTCGGAGTCCTTTGCTTTGTTTTTATTTGATTTTGAGTATTTACCATTGTGCGAAATGGTTTGAAAGCATTTGTTGCAAATGTTTTCGTTTTAGAGCGTTTACTTTGAACGCGTTGGAAAACACTGTGCCGAAAGGTAAACTGGGCACAAAGCAATCAATTTATTTACTGCTTTTTTCCGCCGATCTAAAAATCAGTAGTGTCGATATCTGAAGATTTAGACGCAGGATGAACTTTACCAATAACGATGAGCGAAATCTATCGATTAGGGAAGACTTGGAAGTCAGGGAAGCATTTAGATGAGATGTGAAAAGTTAGCAAAACGACGAATATCCCGGGTTGCTGGTGTAATCCCGAGCACCAGAAGGCTCTCGTTTAATGTTTGGGCCTTAATGACAAGATAGGATTCACTTTCTGTTGTTATATGAACTAGTAGTAGAACTTTAAACACAATAGGCTAAAGCACTGTTGACCCGAAATTTTCTAAAATCGCGGTGTGCACTTCCTTTTGAACATTTGGTAGCATTGTGATTGTTGAGAAATCATTCGCCATCGTGTTTTTTTCTATCGATCTAAGGAAAAAGAAAAGCATTTTTGAGTATGCTGTTTGTTGAGGAAGTAAAACGTGGAATTTGCTGTTTTGTCGTGTAGAAGCATAGGAAATTCGTTTTTAATTGTAAGGAATCCTCTTAAAAAGTTATTTGGAGCGTCTTATATGGTCCGTTGTGTTTCCTAAGTTAATTTTTCCTTGTATTGTCTTCCCTATTTTCGAGGATTCGTTAGGAGTTTTCTCAAACACCTCGCAATATCAATTCCGGAAGACCATACCATTGTTTTTTTCCAAATCTCTGTGCTCTTATATATTCGAAGTTGTACAAGAGTCGCTAGGATTTCCTTACTCGGTTAGTTTCTTAGTGTAAACTCGAAGAAATTCTGGTATTCGCCGAGATCAGGGAACAGGTGAAACCTTTGACCTTTCTTTTATAGATGTATGAAGCAGCAATGCAAGGCAAGGCAATGAAGTCCTTTTCATATCTAAAAGGAAATCTTCCTGACTTTGAACTTTTCATTCTGTTTTAATGACCTTATGTCAAATGTTCTTCGATGGTCTTCTTCTGTATTGTTTCTTTCCTAGTTTTGGTAGCGATAATACTTACATTGTCACAGAAATAGTTTCTTTCTTACGCCTGGAAAGATTTTCGTCCAGAATTTGTTTGTTCGTGTCGAAGATTTGAATACTATTTGTTTTAAGATTGCTTTAGGTATGTCATTTCGAGGACGAGGTGGTGGAGGAGGAGGAGGAGGACGGAGTCGTGGATATAGAGGAGGAGGAGGATTTCGTGGAGGACGTGGTGGAGGTGGCGAACGTTTCCATGACTATGGTCCACCTCAGGAGGTATAATTGTGCACGGTTGTATGTCTGTATTAATACTTAATATTTTCCTCAAATTCCGAAATGGACTTTCCCACTAAACTTCGTCAATAGTTCACAGTTTTTCTTGATGATCAAGCATGAGGTTTGGATTACGCCACTAATTCACCACAATAGCTGGCGTTTCGGCGATTTCGCCTTCTTCAGGGCCTGGAAAGGTCAAGTTGTCGTGCAATCTACTTAGCGAAGTACTTTCACAACCTCACAAGACAACAACTAAGATACTGAGGTTATGAATGTGTTTGGCTGAGTAGATTACACGTCAATCTGATATTTATTATTTTAGGTCGTTGAAGTTGGCGAGTTCACTCATACTTGCGAGGATGACATTGTATGCAAGTGTACGTGTGGAAAGATTCCTTTTTTTAACGCGCCTATTTATTTTCAAAATAAGGAAAAAATTGGGAAGATTGATGAGATCTTTGGCAGCTTGTTAGATAATGTAAGTTGTTTTTCTTAGTTTTTAACTTATTATTATTCTTAATTGAGGACTTTATGACTTAATCTTTAGGGATTTTCTGTTACTCTATCAGATGGGATCAAGTCTGCTTCATTCAAGCTGGGCCAGAAGCTTTTTATCGACCCAGCCAAGCTAATGCCTATCGAAAGGTATATGGACTAAATCCGCTATTCCTTTGTGGAGAAAAGTATAGGAGAAATGTGATTTTCCTTGTTATTGTGTGTATGTTATTTTGTGTTGCAGGTTTCTGCCTGGGAATACCCATGGGGGACGAGGTAGAGGTGGACGAGGCAGAGGTGCGGATCGTGGCCGTGGTGGACGAGGTGATCGTGGAGGTGAGAGTTTGCGAAACTTGTTCTCATTGACTTTCTCTTTACTTCGACCGCTGTTTGTTCTTTATTCTCATTCTTTCTTCTTGTTATTGATAATTAACATGCCTTTTCGTTCATAGCACAAGTTTTTACCCTTTTGACGTCATCTGGTTCACCTTTTTCAGTAACTGTAGCAAAAACATTTTTCGTTAATATTCGATATCCTCGTTTGAATTACATACTATGTAAGCGTAGTTTCTTATGAACTATGAGAAAGAAAATTTTTAGAACGCATGAGCAATACAACTTTTAGTCTTAATCGTTTAATTTACTGCCTACTCTTTTTTAATGCCAGGGTATATTGTGAAATGTAACTTCAATGAAGCTGAGATATTTGCAAAATTTCGGACTGCAGGTGTCTGCGATAGGGAACGAACGCGCTATTGTCCTTTCCGGGGAGTAACGCGTTGACCACCACACCATGCGGGTCCTTCGTTTCGCCTGTCGCTCAGCTAGTTCTATCGATCTTTTGCCGTCTGCAATCACCCGTCAATGCTCGTCAGTTTTGCCAATATCTCAGCTTCATTGAAGTTATATTTCACAACTTACAGTCCTAATTTTGTTAGTGCTAATGTTTTGTTACGGTTAACTTACCTGGATGCTTGGATGGCCCACGTTCACTGCTTGTGTGGGCCCCAGTACATTTTCCGCTTCTTTGGAGTTTTGCTGGATTAGCCACTGTGGCTCCCTAAAGTCTCGAGATCAACCATGCCAAGGTCTGCCCAGGTCATCACCAGCACAGACAGTCGTAGCCCTTATGGATCAGGGATTTTCCACCGTGCGACTAGTTTGATACCAAGACAGTGGATCCTGATGATAGTTTACTCTTAGCTGGGCTTCATGATGGAAACGCGGGAGTCCTTTTCAGCTTGGAGGTATGAATCGCCTGGCTGTACATCGCACCCCAACACCCAGGAACACCTCCTAGCCGCGATGAGACGTTAAACCGTTGGGAGGACGGTAAACTTAAACTGTAGAGTACATGCCTTCAGTCTGACCCTCGTAAGTAGTTTTTTTTAAGTTACTTTTTAAGATATCGTCTTTTTTTTACCTTAAGGTGGAGTAATTACTTAATTTAGAAAACTGGATTATCGATTATCTTTCTCTATACTATTTTTTTCCTTTCGAAAATCTGTTTTCACAGCGGCATCTCACTTGGTAAGCTATGGGATTTGGAATCACAATGTTTAACTTTCTACTTACTACCTATTATTTTTTGAACGGCAAAGTAGGACGTCAAATACAACCGCAATGATGCTGAGATATTTGCAAGACTTGGACCTTAGGCCAAATTCGAACCCGCGACAATTCTCTTCCGGGGCTCACGTCTTGACCACTGCGGGGGATTTTGAATTTTGGCATGTCTTGATATTGCAAAGATAACTTTAAAGCACAAACTTTTGTTCTAAGTTGACCTCAAATAATTTCCTTAATAGTTCCCAGGATCGACTTTCTCTTAACCTCGGTATTGGAATATGAATGTGTCGTTTTCTTGTTCAGCAATCGCGAGGTTTTTAAACAGCATACATTTACTTCCATAAAAACACAATACAATACTGGCTGGCAGTCGTCAACCACATGCGACTATAATCAGCTGTTCTAAACTTCCTCATTGGAAGTCACGAAAAAGCGGCTCTGAAGAAGGCGATACTGCCGAAACGTCAGCTAGCGTTGTATTGTATTGTGTTTTTATGGAAGTAAATGTAGCTGTTTAAAAACCTCGCGATTGCTGAACAAGAAAACGACACATTCAATTTCCTTAATGTTTACTTTTCAGTTTATAGAATTAGAGTATTTTGTAGTACACATATCTGAATATCCATTGAATCTTTTCAAATAATGCAGTACTATTGTACTTTTCTCAACGGTTTACCTTATCATCTTGGCTGGTAGGTGTTCCTGGGTGTCGGACTGCGATGTACAGCGGGGGATTCGTGCCCCCGACAGGGTCTCCCAAGCTGAGAATAAGTCTGGCTTTTCCATCAGGAAGTCTACCTAAGAGTTAACCAATACCAGGATCCACCACCGTCCTGGTATAAAACAGGTCGCATAGTGGCAAATCTCTTTCTCTGAGCCACAAGGACGGCTACTGCTTTTGGTGGTGAGGACCTGGGACAGACTTTGGCGACGTTCACCTCCTGATTCCAAGGAAACACAATGGCTAAACCACCAATATTCCGAAAAATGGAGAATGTGCTAGAGCCCGCACAACCAGTGAGGATGGACCGTCCAAGTAACCAACTATCCAAGCACTATTATGACTAGTTTTTCAAATGACGATTCTTCTAGTATTACGTGTGAAACACGTGTGCTGTAATCGCCGTATAATCGGTCACAGGTCTACTAAGACCAATACCTGCCGTCGTTTCTTTCTTTGTTTTTTTAATCAACATTTGACCAGTGGACGAAAGCTAGAGAGGCACATACTATAATATCACCTTGTTTCAGGATTCCGTGGTGGACGCGGTGGTTCCAGTGGAGACAAAGGTGGAAGAGGTCGCAGCGGATTTGGAAACGACCGAGGAGGTCGCGGTGGGTTCGGAAATGATCGAGGGGGTCGCGGCGGGTTTGGACACGATCGAGGAGGTTACGGCAGATCTGGAAATGACCGAGGAGGTCGTGGCGGATTTGGAGGAGATCGCCATGGCGGCAACAGAGGTTTTTTTCTTCGCTGAACTATATTTATATTTTGGATACTAAGTTAATGAAATTATACGTACGATTAGCTGCTTATTCTGTCAGAGCTACAGTACTTGAGAGTTTTTAACAGGGTGCAGAATTTGTGAAGTGTTGCAATCCAGGTATCTTGATTCGTCCGTTTTTAAAGGTCCCATTTTTAAAACTGTTTTTCGTTCCCAGGACCAACTTTCTATTAACCTCGGCATTGGAATATGAATGTGTCGTTTTCTTGTTCAGCAATCGCGAAGTTTTTAAACAGCATACATTTACTTCCATAGAAAAACACAATACAATACAACACTAACTGACGTTTCGGCAGTATCGCCTTCTTCAAAACCTGGAAGGTATACTAATATACAATCTACTAGGCCCAACGTTTCAATAACACTTACAAAAAGACGAAAAACTCTTCGGTAATTACATGGTCAACAACTCGAAAAAACCCACCGCTTTTTCGTGACTTCCAATGAGGAAGTTTGGAACAGCTTACTATAGTCGCATGTGGTTGACGACTGCACCATCCCACATCAAAAATCGATGCGAACATACGGGATCAGGTCGCTTATGACCTCCGGGCATTCGTCCCTGCTATTCATTGTAGGGTTTTTGGCATTTATCCAAAAAGCCTCAAGGAGTTTTCGCGCTGGTGTTATGGACTCCTGTGCAAGGATATTGGCTTTTAGTTCAAAATCGTCTCCGCTATGCTTTTGTATCCTATGCGTGCCTAGTGGGGTGCTTCGTCTTAGTTTTCGTTTGCCATCTAGGTGTTCTTTTATACGGATACACAAAGGTCTGCCCGTTTCTCCACTGTATTCATCTCCGCAATTGTTACAAGAGATCAGGTATATCGTACCTGAACTCATGCAATCACCGTCCCTGCCGTAAGGGCAAATTACGCAATTTGTTGTTTCACACAGACGGTCATACAGGCGGTTGCGAACTAATTGGCGACGTAGAGTAGCCGGTGGTATTTCAACTATAGCTACCGATTCCTCTAGATCTGCCCTTCTTAAGCATTGTTTTATAGGTACGCTTACTTCATCGCTTATAAAAGGCAACATAAACGGAACTTTCATTTGGCCAAGTGTTTCGCGTGGCGCGTCGTTCTCCTTGTAAACTTATCTTGTGGGTTACTATTTCGTAGCCATTGGAGGTGGCTATTTGCCGAGCCAAGTCGCGCGATTCTTCCTTTAATTCCCTGGTAGTGAACACAGAGGTGGCTGTTCGAAACATGTTTCTCACAATCGCCCTCTTTGTGTGTGAAGGGTGGGATGAAAGGAAATGAACAAAAATGTTTCTGTTACTTCGCTTTCGATACCACTTTGTCAGGTAACCGCTACTTGGTAGGTTTATTTGAACGTCCAAAAACGGAGGCCAGTTTTTTCTCGGTTTCTCCTGGGTGAACTTTATGTACTCGCACTGCTCGTTCAATAATTCAAAGCATTTGTCCATCTCCTCCTGCGTAGAGAAGACGTCAAAACAATCATCTACATTTCTGCAGTAGAGTAGTGGCCAGAGATCGAGAATAGGGGCTTCTATCTTAGACATAAACACAATGGCAAGGCTTGTTGCCAATCGCTGTCCCATTGCCAACCCCCTTATTTGCGCGAAATATATCCCAGACTATCTGAAAATCGAGCAGTTTAGGCGCTCCTTTAAGAGAGCCATTAGCTGCTGGATGGACAAGCCATGCATATTTATTCTTCCTTCATGTTCAACAAGAAGTTCGAAGATGGTTTGCATTGTGGAGTCGTTCGACACGTAGGTGTACAGTGCGGTAACGTCGATGGACTCCATCACGTACGCGTTACGTAGGCGTTCTGGGAACATTTGGGTGTTTGTGAGGTGAGCTGGAATGTGGTTAAGCAACTGGGTAAGTATCAGGCTTAAAAACCAGGTTATTCTATCCGTTGGCCCGTCCACACAGCTTGTGATCGGTCTAACCTTAAATGATGACGGATTGGTTGACGCATGATCATCAGGTGATACCAACTTATGTGTTTTAATAAGTAGGTATAGGACGGGACATGTTGGTCTATCGATTTTAAAGTGCGAAATAACCGATGATTTTAAACCCGCAGCCTTTGCCACGCTGACCCATTGATTGTTTAGCTTTCGGTATTGGCTTTTATATTCCTTTTCAGAGGATGGGCCATAGAGGGTAGTATCACTAAGATGTTCCTCTGTTATCTCAACATCCAGCTGGCGAGGGATAACTATGAACTCTCCCCCCTTATCACTAACAGACAATCTTATTGTTTTCGAGTTTATTAATCCTCTAATCTCCCGCATGCCACATTTTTGTGCGGTTGTAAGGTTAGAGATAAACTTTCTGTCGCGGTAGTGATCAAGGGTTTTGAGAACGCCGTCTGAAAACACGTGGAATTTTATGTAAACTCCATCGTTAAGGTCCTGCTGTCTAAAAAACGTTTTAGGGAAAGGAGATGGTGGTAGTGCCGCCGCCTCTTGATTTTTATCTCTATTTTTGATGTTTCTTGCTTGGTCTGATAGCGGACTCGATCTTGAAGCTCATAGGTTGCATGCTACCCTACGCAGGGTCGTTTTAGAAATGGGTTGTGATGGTGCAAAACTTGGGTCCAATTTTAATAGCGAGCGCACATTCTTAGGTATTGTTATGCCCCCAATAACGGTGACCCCAGATTTTCTTGGTGCATTGTCAACCTCATTTTGACTATTATCAGAAGCGTAAGGAGTTCGAACTAGCTAAGACAATCTTCTGTCTTAGTGGCAATGCTTCCTTTACAAGTCGAAAGTATTTTGCTGGTACATCTTGTAATAGTTCCAGGATCGCCTTTCTATTAACCTCGGCATTGGAATATGAATGTATCGTTTTCTTGTTCAGTAATCGCGAGGTTTTTAAACAGCATACATTTACTTCCATAGAAAAACACAAACACAGTGTTTTTCAAACCGATCATCATTTAACCTGCATAGTAAGAATGTGTTTAAATTGCTGAGCTTATACGACGTTGATAAATTAGCTTTATTCGCGTAACGTTTCCACGTCTTCCATCTTCGTCAGAGCCGATAATCTGAGTCGATGATCCACAGTTGTTCGTATTCCCGATGTGGCGTCTGCGTCGTACCAAGGCGGATCTTCTTCAGTGGAACACCACATAAATTCGGACTGTGGACCATCGACTCGGATTGTCGGCTCCGATTTTAAAATAACGCGCACAATATCTTAACTTTTGTTTAACGTTTTGTTTTCTGCCTTCTATAATTTTCAAGGCAGGGTACTAAGCGAAATACAACCACAACGTTGCTGAGATATTTGCAAAACTCTGGACCGCAGGTGTCTATGGTGGGGAACGAACGCT